GGGGGGGGGAGGGCGGCATTAATGAGGCTCTACTTAATATATTGATGCCGGTGGTGAGGGGTAGGAACATTTTTCTTTCGAAAAAAACCAACCCGTTCATAGCACAGAAAAAGTTAAACAAATGTATCAGTGCACAAATGTAATTGTATCAGTGCACAAGTGTATTTGTAAAACCATTTTTCTGTTATTTTTACTCACTTGTTGTTTTATTTTATATTATCTCATTTTATTTTATTTTATTTTATATTTATTTCATTATTTTTTTCTTTGGCTCGACATGATATTTATTATACTGTCTTATTCCCTATATACTTGGCCTTTTTAAAAGAGTCTCAGGGAAATTCGTCACATACATGACGTCACGTTCCTCTTTTGGTAGTGCTTTCTAGTTTGTTTGTTGTTGTTGTTATTGTTGTTGTTGTAGTTGTAGTTGTTGTTGTAGTTGTTGTTGTTTTATATCCCTTTAGCGGGCTTGATCCCTTAATCAATTCAGGAGGAGTCATCAGGTAAATTGAGGCTGAGCTCTGTTCCGTGAGCAATCGACTTGCGGAGAGAGAAGTCCCAGACTCACGATTCTCAGCACGTGACTGCTTGAGCTAGACAGGACGGGTTTTTGCTTGGCAGCAGCGCTCTCGGACAGGAGGTCGATCGTCTGAGAATCCTTTTGTACCAAGGCACGGCACCTAGAGGTCACATGGGACTGTCTCTTCTCCCTCTCCCCACACCCCTACCCCACCCCACCCTACTCTCCTCTCACCCACATCCCCCAACACACCACCCTCACCATCCACGTACGCTCACTATCGTCTCTCATGCCCGTGCGCCCGCCACCATGTCCAGTCTGTCCCCCATCCTGACCCTGTCTCCCTACCATGCGTCATGCTCTTTCCAACCCATTTATTTTTCGGAATCATAAATGAAACATTTACATTTAAAAATGCAACAGAAATACTAATTCTTATTGCTATTAATTCAAATCCTAACGTGTGCAATGTTGTTAATTTCATGTACTCAGTCGAAACACACACACAAACACACACACACACACACACACACACACACACACACACTCACACAC